GTATTTTTAGTATTTGGTAATTAACAAAATTTCACTATAAAAACACATTTACAAGTTATTTGAAAATCTCTGTATAAAAACATAATAAAATAAAGATTGTGCTTGCTTCGGGTCCAAAATTTAGATTAGAGGTGTTGTTCAAGACCGTTCATTTTATACAGCATTGTGTTCATTTATAAAAAAAAATATAAATTTATCCAATAATCTTAACTTTTCATTTTATTGCATTTGTCTCTAAAAAAAATGAATGATAAATGTGTTTTAAAAAATATATTATTTATTTTTTACTTTGTTAGTAGCTATATTTAAATAATTTTTTATATTCCCATAGTCAACTTTTTTGAGATGATGTCACAAATAATTTCTATGATAAATTTATCATTATAAAAATTTCTTTAAAAAATACAATTCAACTACTTATACTTTCCACATCATATTTCAATACAAACTAACAAGAATAAATCAAAAATAAATCGAAATTCACAAACAAAAATTAAAATATTCCAATCATTTATCACTTCGATAAATTTCTCAGTATCATTACTAATAACTGCTACCACAACATTAGGTTTTGGCGGGAGTATATTGGTCTCATGTTCAACTGTAGGTACAACTGTAGATTCAACCACAACATTAGGTTTTGGCACGAGTATAGGGGTGACATGTTCAACTATAGGTACAACTATAGATTCTACCACAACTCCAGGTGCAACTATGCCAGCTTTACATTTACAGTGGTCGTGCCCCACTTCCTGTTGTTTTGACATTTGTAGTGGCTCACATTTTTCCATGACATTCGGAATGGAAGAATTAGTTATTCCACTTTTAACAATAATAACTAGTTCTTCCAAAACACTTTTCATGTCACAAACAGTCGTCTCAATTTTTGAAATCTGAAAATCATTGATATTTTTCATTTCCTCGCTTTGTACAAATGGTTGCATTTGCTTGTCAACAACAAAATTAACATCAACCTTTTATAGACACATCGTAAACAATTTAGTTTTCCATTTCAACATGAAAAATAACAAACAAAAACCAAACATAAAAGAAAGGATATGCTAAGGATGACCTCCTCATTTTGGTAACCTCCTGAATTTTGGAATAGTTTCAGTGTCGCCTTTATTTCTGCATCACCCCAATCAGCCAAGCAAGGGACCGAGCAAGCACGAGCAACATGACAACCACTCGGAGCAAGACGATCAAAGTAAAGCAACTGCATCACAAAAATGTATGAATTTAACACATACTATGCAATGAAATAGGCATTAAAATCAAGTATTTATAACAAAACAATTATTAATTGGTTGCAAGTATACCATTATAAGAAATAAGCATCCATTTGGTTGCGATTGACTTTTTGAACTGTACTTGCGTAAACCACGAACAAGGAATTGAAGAGTGAACTTTGACCAATTATAATCCTTCATGCCATCCACATTCTGAACAAGGTGAATGAAGGATTGCTTATTCATGTGTTTGTAGGTGAGCCAAGAGGAGTCCAAACCTAGCCCCAGTGAAGTATGTGAGGAGCAACAAAGGTTTTTGGAGAGTCAGCCCTTGTGTCTCACGCACGAGACCCGTCTTCGCCCTTTTGTTATGCATTTATATTCTGTCATGTTGGCGAAGACTTTGCATCTGTTGTATATAGTTTTGATGGGTTGACTTAGACTATTATGATCCTGTATGTACAGAGCCTGGTGTGGTACATATTTTGTTGTGAGTTATTAATATGCATATGTATGGTTTGTTATGATGTGCCATGTAAGCACAGCTCTATGGACAAAGTTTTAAATTGCTTCTGTTTGGCCCCCTTTAACTCTATTAAAATATGTTTGGTTTGGTTCGAGGCCGTAGGTAATCTCATGATTACTGGCCGGTTATGTCCTTAACCCACGGGGGCGGGTTCGGGTCATGACAGCAAGAAGCTATTGTCTTCCCTACCCAGAGAAAAAGGGTGGGTTGTATCTCATTGCTATCAATACCAAGGTTTTGATACTCATCTAGGATATTGCAAGGAGTAATTGCATGTCAACAACACTTTCAAGCTCAAGACATCGATATCCTTCTCGTTACCACCCCTAAATCTGACACCACCTGGCTGAAGACAATCATGTTCGCAATAGAGAACCGGACACATTATCTCGACATGAACCGACACCCATTGCTTGCAAACAATCCCCATGATCTTGCCTCTTTCTTGGAACTCAAGCTCTATGTTGACAAACAAGTTCCTGATCTCACCTCTTTCACTTCTCCGAGGCTATTTGCAACCCATTTACCATTCTTATCCTTACCTGAATCTGTGACGTGTTCGGCAAGCAAGCTTGTCTATCTATGCAGGAACCCCATGGACACTTTTGTTTCACTTTATCACTTCACAAACAAGCTTAGACCTCCTAGCCTTGAACCAAATATACTTGAAGATGTATTTGATATGTTTTGTAGGGGAGTGTGCCTATGTGGACCCTTTTGGGATCATGTGTTGGGTTATTGGAAGGAGAGCTTGGAGAAACCTCAAAAAGTACTTTTTTTAAAGTATGAGGAGATGAAAGAAGAACCCACTATTCATCTAAAGAGATTAGCTTAGTTCATGGGCTGCCCGTTTTCTCTAGAGCAAGAGACATTAGGGGTGGTGGATGAGATTTTAAGGTTGTGTAGTTTTGATCATTTGAGTAGTTTGGAGGTGAACAAGAATGGAAAGTTGTCATCAGGGGAGGAGAATAAAACCTTATTTCGACGCGGTGAGGTCGGAGATTGGAAGAATTATTTGACAGATGAGATGGTCGACCACCTAGTCCAAATCGGCGAACAAAAGTTCGCTGAATCGGGGCTAAAATTTTAAGGCTCCTAGGTTTGTGATTGCCATTAATTCAAATAACAGTCTGTTGTTCATTTCAACAATTCTATTTTATTACAAATCTTCTAAGTGATTATCTTCAAACAATTGTGTTGCTTCATTGTAGATAATGTGATATCGTTAATGTATGGGATAAATCTTATTATACACAGCTTTTGTTGTTAACAACAATGAGAGTTGTAAATTCTCACCTCTAATATTATTTTAAATGATGTGCACTATTATATGTCAGATGCTAATTTGTACAAGAATCAAACTTCTATGACACAATTCATTACCAAGGCGTTATAGGTAAATCTAAGGATGATATTTTAGGATCTCTAGTAAGACTCTTCGATAATATAGTGTTCTCTTAAAAAAAAAGAAAGAAAAATAAAATCTATCATTTTCATTAATTTAGTGAATGATTTATTTATTTTGCATTTCTCTTTCCTTACAAGCATGTAATATTTTAATTTTTTTTTCTCCCCGATGTTTTCCACTAATTAATGTATGCTTATGATGTCACAAATTTGATGGCACAACAACATGAAAAGTTAAATGTATTATAATATTTAAAACATTTATTATACTCAGCGGCAAAACAATAATTAGTGATTTATGATTAGTGTCGGCAAGATTCGATCAATTATATAATCAGAAATCGATTCTATTGTTTGATTGTGACTCCAAATCTTGCATTAGATTATGTTGATTTGCTGAATTATTTTTGATTGAGCAGTTTCATAAAATTTAAATATTTTGAGGACTAACAGTGGTGGAGTCAGGAATTTAATATAGGGGACACCTATAATTTATAATCTCAAAATTTTTCTTCCCCAATCAATAACAATAACATAATAAAAAAATTCCGAGCTAATATTAAACATTAAAAATTAATATTCATTACAAAAAGTTTTTAATTTTAAACTTTTACAATTGATCCCGACGAATTTTCATCTTTTGAAATATTTCTATGATAGTATCATTGTCAATGCCGTAAAAAATATCTCTCTCAATGTAGACAACCAAGCTATCATTCATCCATTCATCACCCATTCGGTTCCGTAACCGATTCTTCACAATATTCGTAGCTGAAAATACCCTCTTAACAGTAGCAGTTGCAACAGGTAAGATTAACGCTATTTTCATTGAGTTTCGCTCACCCAGTATTATATATGCACATGTAGGTGATTCGTAGCATGGAGCACACTCCTAGAGTCAGCTTCAGAAGCTATTTTTGTGACCTAATCAAGTCCTACCTCCGAGATGGAGTTTTGTTTTGACTCACACCATACATTGACTTTATTTTGTTTTGTTTTTATGGTCTTGGGTTTGTAAATGATATGTACGAATTCCTACGGAACTTATATTTTTGCATGGGCATGCAAATGTTTGAATGTGTTATGAGGTTAGCTTCATAATTTTGCTGATGTTGGCACAACTTAATGGACTTATCATTATTATATGCTTTTGCTTATGGCCCTATTATCATAAATATCATGTATGTTTGTTTGAGGCCTTCGGTAATCTACGGATTACAGGTCGGTTATGACCCAAACTTTTAGGGGTGGGTTTGGGTCGTGACAGAGTGGTATCAGAGCATGAGTTAATATCTAACACACGAGTTCATTTGAGAAATAAGAAGTCTAGAAAAAGGTTTAAGTTGCATCCATAATGCATTTTTAATCAAGTATGATATGAAAATGTGCATTTGTAAATGTGACTTATGTGCATATTATCTGTGAAAGTTATAATGTATGTTCCTGTAGATCATGGTGAGAACAAGGGCGGAAGATGGGGAGGATTCAACTTCCGCACGATTTGATAGAATGGAGGCAATGATTATGGACATGGCAGAGGCTTTTAGACAACAGCAACAACAACTACCACCACCACCAATGCTTGTGCCACCACTTGTAGTGCAAGACCACCAAGCTGATGACCGAACTATTACTCTCACAAAGGAATTTAAAAAGATGAAACCACCATCGTTCAAAGGAGGAATTGATCCATTGAAGGCAGAGGCTTGGGTGCTTGGTATAGAAAAACTGTTTGAAGTCTTCCATGCACGGAGGCATAAAAAGTCTTGTTTGCTGCTTTTATACTCGAGGATGAGGCACGCCATTAGTGGATGCTTATTTGAGAGGAACATCAAGGAATGAATTGGGCTCAAATTTTGGAGATCTTCTATGAGAAGTACTTCATGCAGAGCATCCGAGACAAGCAGGTGTCAGAGTTTGAAAACTTGAAGCAATGGAGCAAAACCGTAGCGGAGTATGAGGCACGGTTTACTAAGCTAGCTTGTTTCGCACCGCATATGGTCGATATGGACTACAAAAAGGCAAGGAAATTTGAGAGAGGTCTCCGAGACTCCATTCTTGAGAAGATTAATGTGTTGAAGGTGCAGAAATATGTGGATGTATTGGATAGGGCTGTCATAGTGGAAGGTAATCAGGCTAACCGCAACAAGTACTCGGATTGGAAGGGCAAAAAGCAGGGGTCTAATATGCACAAAGGGTCGACGTCCTCACAAAATAAGAAGCAAAATTTGGAAACTTTCAGCACTTCGGGTTCTACTCGTGATTCAACACCAACTTGCTCGGAGTGTGGAAAGAAGCATCGTGGGGTTTGCTATTGAGCAATAAGAGCTTGCTTTAAGAGTAGGAAGACGGGACATATGATGAGAGATTGTCCTATGTTTGGGCAACAAAAAAAGAATAGGCCAACCGTTAGTTCAGCTGGTTCCACTCTTGCAACAAAGACCCCAGCAAGGCCTATTACTTCTAGAGACAATGTTAGGCAAGGGAGAGTCTTTGCTCTTGTTTCGGGTGATGTTCAGAATTTGGATGCTGTGGTTTCAGATACACTTTCCATCAATGGCCAACCTGCTCATGTGCTACTTGATTCGGGTTCCACCCGTTCCTTTGGTTCGAAAACATTTGCTCCTAACTTCAATAAATCTATGGAACCCTTGAATTATGTGTTGTGTGGGTCTCTTCCATCTGGAGATTATATGTTACGTGCTTCTATTTATCCTGTATGTGAGCTTTTACTTGATGATATTCCATTATGTGCTAATTTGATGCCTCTTGATATGGTACACTTTGATATAATTTTGGGGATGGATTGGTTAGCTAAGTATCATGCAACCATTGATTGTGCGTCTAAGCAAGTTATTTTCAGCCCATCGGGCCAAGATGAGTTTACTTTTGTGGGACATGGGGTAGCTCCTTGTAGACACCCCATTTTTGACCAACCTTAAGACTCAGACGTCATCGATTGAGCGCTCGGTGATGGTGCATGTTGTGCTTGTTTCGAGTCTCCGGAGTTTCAACTGAGAGCCTTGCCTCCGGGCCTCTGAACTCTTTTGTGCTTTAGCTCGGTTTGTGGACGAAGTCTTGTTTTCCCTTCCCGGAGGGAGGGAGTGGTCTTGTAGACCATCTCTCTGTAGTCGTGGACTACTTTTCGTGGTCGTAGGCCATTTTTCCCGTTTGGAGACTAGTTTCTGATTTTTGGAGCCTTTGGCCGCACGCCTTGTCTCGAGACCGCTTAATATTCTCCGTTTGGCGTGATTTTTCAACCACACCTTGTTGCCTCTGCCTAGAGGAACACTGTGGTTCGGGAGACCACTTTTGTGGTTGCATACCACTTTTGATGCTCGTTAGCTAGTTTTCGGGGCTTTTGGCTGCGTGTTTTGCCTCCCGATTTCTCGTCTTGCATCCGCTTTGGTTTGTTTTTGGTACAAACCTTGCTTTCCTTGTTTGGAAGGTGGTACAAGGATGGGAGACCAGTATTTCTCCTTGGATACCACTTTTCCTTTTTCCAACTAGTTTTCTTGTCAGATAGTTTGCTTTCTTGGTCTTTGAACCATCTTTTCTGGTCGACCACCACACCACCACCTTGCATTTAGTGTGTTGACCTCTCCCACCTATGGCTGACCAGTTTTTGCTCTGGTTGACCACCTAAAGTGGTTGGCCGACCACTTAAACTACCAGGCTGACCACTTCAAGTGGTCGGCTACTTTTTGGCACCTTTTTGGAGACATTTTGGGACAGCTGGCACAGTTGGAGAGCATTTGAGCCATCCTCCATACACGTGTATAGAGGGATGGCATTCAAGCTTAGCTTCTCCAAGAAACTTTGGCTTTCCTCTTCTATAAGAGGGAGGCTCCTCCACCCTCCTCCAGGTTCAGAAAATTGCCATTAGAGAGTTACATATAGCTTTGTCTCTATATCACTCTTGTTCTTCATTTTTGTGTTCAAAAGTGTAGATTTGTCTTAGTTTAACACACAAACACACACTCAAACACCATCCTTTTTCTACTAAGGTGCTTAGGGGCTGATTTTGGTGTTCTTGGGTTGTCTTGAGTTCAAAAAACCTGTTGGAGTTGCAGTTATAAAGACGGTCTTCAAGGGTGAGCTTTTGACCTTTAAATCCCCCTTTCTTGCTTAAGATTTTAGCCTATCTTGCATGCTGTTTTAAGCTTAACCTATAACTGATAAAAGTTCTATTTTTGCATGCTTTTGATCTTTGTTTAAGATCACTTTTCTGTTTGGGGTTGTTTACCCCCTCTTAGGCCTTGTTTGGCCTTATTTTTGAGCATTTTTTGGTGAACTTCGGGACCACCTTGTATTGGCCTTCTCACCACTGAAATTCAGAGGGACTTCAGTGGTGGAGATGGTGTTTTAAGGTCCTAAGAAGGGAAGGGCCATCCCCTTCCCTTGCATCTTCAATACATGCCTTAATAAGCCTCATGTTTGAGCATCTTTACTAAGTGTTTGTTGACCATATCCTAGCTTGTGTTTGTGGTTATTTTTCTGTGGCATACCACTGTTTTTGCTTAGTTTGGTCACTCCATGCGTGATTAATACACTTGTAGTGTAAATCACACACACTAGCTTTGTATGCTTCATGAAGTAGCATGTCATTTTAGCCTATGTTGTGTCCATTTCAGCATGTTTTTGGGCTTGTTTTATCATGTCATACCTCTGTTTAGGTTTAGTTTGGTTGGCCTTTGCATGCTCCATGCACTTGTAGTGCAATCCCATGAAATAGCCTAACATGCATCATGTTATAACATGTCATTTTAGCATGCTTTTGGCTTAGCTTTAAGAATATTTTGTTCATATTTTAGCATGTTTAAGGTCTGATTTTAGTTGTATTGGTCATTCATGACTTGTTTTGTATAGCCTTGGTTCAATCTAGCTTGTTAGCCTTGTGTATTGAACCCACTAGCATGCATTGCTTGGCCTATTTTAGTGATTTGGAATCACTTTTTATGTGATTTCAGTCCATGTTTCATGGCGATATACTTGCATCTTTCACTTATTCAATGCGTTGGAGGGTTTACCCCTTTATGCCTTAACATGGACCATTGCGTATGTCTTCATGCCCTTGCTTGCGAGCCACCATTTCAGTGTTTATTTGGGGTTATTATGCCATGACATAACTCTTATTTTTGTTGCTTAAGTCATCCCATGCTTGGTCCTAATAGGTGTAGTGTAAACCACCCTATATGCCGTGCATTCACCATGCTTCATGCCCTTCATGCTAGCACATTTTGGCCTCCTTCCATACATGTTTTAGTCTCATTTCAACATGTACTAGGACTATTTTAGGTTGCCCTTGCCTTATGCTTCATGCTCTGTATAGCTATAGTGCAATTGGCCTTGTGTTTTGTTGACTCATGCATGCTATCCTTGAGCTATTTAGATGATTTAGCATCATTTAATACTTCATTTCAGAGCATTTAGCATTTCCATGTTCCTACTTCATTCATGCTTTGAATGCCTTTAAGTATTGTGCATTGTTGCCTTACTTGTAGCTTAGCTCGTATGCTCGCATGCCTAGGCCTTTGGGCCCTTATCTCAGCATGCTTTGGTCCTTGTTTTGACCTACTTGAGCTCTGTCCGTGCTTAGTTCATGTATTTGTGCCATGTATGGCATGCCTCCTTTGTGTTGCTGTTTGCTAGCTCACATGCCTTAGGACCCGATCATGCTTTACTTATATTGTTTGAATGATTTGGCATCATTTCTTGCTTCATTTTAGTGCACTTAGTGTTGTTACACTTCCACTTTTGTCACCCATTGAGCACTCTTGAGAGTTGTGCTCTTTGGCCTCTTTGATGGCCAATGCATTGTGTATGCATGCCTTGCTTTATGTGCCTACATTTTATCACCAATGGTCACTAATTTGGGCATGATTGAGGTCTATCCCTTTTGGTTTAAGTCCATTGATTATGCCATGTATGTTGCATTGAGTATGCCATATTATTCAATGCATTGAATATGCCATCCTACATAGCACTGTGCATGCCATGCGGTTATTTGCATTGTGTTTTCCAAGTTGTTCCTTGCATTGCATATGTATGTCCATGACATTGCTAAGTTGCCCGTTGTAGCATTGCACTGTGTATGCATGTGTTAGCATTGTTTGCATGCCTTTGCATTGTGTATGCTTAGGTAACATCACATTGTGCATGCCATGTAGATCATCGCATTGTGTATGCCATGTTCGTCGCATTGTGTATACCTTATACCTCGCATTGTCTATGTTTAGGTTACATCGTGGCATTGTGCATGCTAATTGATATTTGCATTGTGTATGCTAGTTGTTACATGCTTTAGCATTGTGCATGCCATTAGCCTTGTTAGGTTGTTCATATTGCATTGCATGTTTGCATGCTTAAGTCATGTTGCATACTTGCATGCTTGAGTTGCATTGTGTATGCCATGCTTTCTTGCATTGTGTTTGGAATGGGTGTTAGTGCAAACACGGGAAACGAGGGACGTTTCATACTTAAAGTGATGAAACGTGCCTCAATTCTCGGTCGCCGACTCGCCGACGCTCTTGATCATCCATAATAGAGTTCTAGGCTTTATGTGTTTACTTGTGCATTCATTTCCATATTGAATTGTGCAACTTCGTCTTTCGGCCATCACGCATGGAAATGAGCGATTGGTGGCCCAAGGGTCGAGAACCACACCCCCTTGAGTTCATGACATGATAGGGAGGGCGGTTGTGCACACATATCTTGCAAATACATTGCCATGTCCTTTCTTGCTCTCTGTTGCAGCAAATTACAGTTCAGCAGCAACAACTAGTCGGATTACCTGAATTGGAACAATTCATTGAAATCAGCTTTTTCGCCTACTCACGAGTAGCAAACTTCAAACCATTTTCCAAACAAACGGTTATGCGATGCTTTGTTCCAAATTAGGCGATCTAGTCTATACTTGTATGTTGTGCACATCACATAGTAAGATTAGCTAATTAACCGGAATAAGAACACATGTGTTTTCAAAAACAAAATATCATGTTTAGTACAGGCCGATCTTTGATCGGGCGAGCGGGGGTGCTCATAGATGACCTTCCCCAATCATAGCCAAGTTCCTGAGCCGAGGCAACTTTGGTGATGACGGACACGTGGCCTTAGGCACGAGTCAGGGTTTCCTAATTTTTTTCAAAATAAAATATTTAGGTGGCGACTCTGTATCTGGCAAAGCAGTCCATGTTTGGCACTTCTTTATAAAAAATTAGTTTTCTGAAATGATTTGCCGGATTTGGACTCTTTGGTGATTTATCGGTCTCACATCGCACATTGTGAGATTAGATTTAGAACCATGACATTTGAGTCC